GAGGAAATTAAAAAATCACGTTCAGCCAGGTCTGAAACAGAAAGCAAATTTTCTGGTTACTTATGTGAAAATATGTGTGAACATATCTTAAGAATATAGATTTCCGAAATTATATATTTCTCTCGTAAGTTAATGGAAATTTAAAAAAAATGGTAGCCAAGGTTGCTTAAGGTTTCGGGATGCTGCCATTCCTCCGAAAAAATCCTAGTGAAATTTACATGCATTTAGCGCAGAACCAATACCGCAAGATTTCCGAGAAAATTGCTCGCCGCATCGAGAGGGATAATAAGAATAAATCGCGAAGTAAACGTTAGACGCGCGCTTAGATCATATTCTGTGCGTGATCATATTCTATGCGTCGTTCGCGGAGGTATGTTATCGAGGTGGGTCGCTCGTTGTGCAATTCTGATCATTAATCGCCGTCGATGGATCGCGTCGAACGCGGAAGGTTAATTTTCCGCGAATAATTGGGATCTGGTTGATCGATCTAACCCCCCCTCTCCCTCCGCCGTATCCGCCAGGAAGGTGGCGAAACGGCGTCTAAGTCATCCCATTCGTCTTCGGTAAGATACTCGGCAGAGGAGATCATCGATTCCGGTAGCGGGGCTAAGGAAAATTAAATGATGCAGACCCCCGTTGAAGGAGAGTTATTTGTCACGGTCGTTGAGGGAGCCCTCCCGCTCCCTCTTGTCAGCTAGAGGGTGGAGGGTAGTTCTCGCTCTTACCTTGTCTACCTTCGGTGCTTACTCGCCCCGTTTCCTACGTTGCTGAGAATCCCGCTGTTTAACCTAACCGAACCGCTATTTGTAACGAGTCTATTACATTGAATGCGAAACGAGAGCGCGAACTTCGACCGGAATTCGTCGCCGAGTTACCGAACAAGTCGGGGCGAGTCTTTTATTTGTCGTCTGCACTACCCTCGCGTTGAGGGGGAGACGAGTAGCGAATTAATCCTCCCGGTCGATCGCTTTGAGCGAACATTTTAACGCGCGCAAGAACGCGTCCTTCTCCTTTGACTCATCGATTCTACAGCCGGTGTGTTCTTAAACGCGACGATCTGACGATACGGCATACGGGGAATTCTCGACGATAAAAATCCTGCGGGACGAACGCGGAATCAAGCGCGGCTTTACGATAATGTCGGTGTCGTGGGTGACGATTGGGAGGGGTGGCTGTGGGCGCGCAAAAGTGGAGCGCCCGACGTGGCAACACACCGACGCTCCGATAAACAACGTTGCATCGGGTGAGGATACCTAACCCCTCCTCTCCTCGCCCCTATCGGTTGCGAATATAAATTCACAACACTTGCAAATAACTGCCGCGCGTTGCAGGATCGACGCGACGATCCCTCCGAGCAGGCGTTATCCTTTTTCCTCTTTTCGTTTTACGCCCGCGTGATCAGACAACGCGTTGCCGAAGGGTCATAAAAAACGGGGGACTGCTCAATTTCTAGTTAACACGCGTAATTTGATTAACAGCGAGACTCGCGTTGCTTCGTCTTTTTTGCAAACACACGTTTCATAAAAGTCGACTAGCTCTTGCGAAAATTTCACTGCACGCCACGTCGATTAATCGCTGTTATATCGCGCTTGATTATAATTATATAAAACGGTTAGTGTGTAAAAAATTATTACTAAAAGATTATCATACGAAGAAGATATATTACTAGAGGATTATTACGTATAACACATTTACATACGCAGCTAAAATTGAATCGCGAGTCGAAGAGCCCGGAGTCGAGCATGCGTAATAATTTAAATCCAGATTTAACTCGGCGTTCTCTACGAAGTGCATCTATTTGTTACCAATGCGACGGCGATGAATCTCGCAAGAGTATCATCGGGCGCCGGAAGAATTATTAACCCTGGGCCGCTCTTCATTCCGCGACGTTACGACATTAACAGTTTTCGCTCGCCGGCTTTCCACCCTCCTCTCGCGCAACATCACGCTCCTCACCCGGCATTCCGTCCCTATATCTCCTTTCTCTTTCTCCGTAGGGGGTACAGAGCGGCGAGTCGAATCGGGGGTGCGCGGGAAGAGGGTGAGTTACCCGCCCCGACCCCCGCGATAACTTTTTCCTTCTCCGCTTGTACCGTGCTCGAATTTATGCCGGACGGAGAATTAATGCGTGACAGATTTGTAGTTATTACGAGGAGGAGGCGGAGGCGGGATGGAAAGAGTAGGAAGACGAGTGGCCTGGCCTCACTCAGCCCGAGGGAACGAGCGCCGGCGAGCGAGACGGAGAAACAAGGAATCGAAGATGGAGAAGGACGGCGATAAGGGTTGGTAGCGAGGGAACCAACGACGGGGGAGCGACGGGGGGGAGGGAAACGGTAGAGACGGGAGGAGATGCAGAGAGAGAGATGGACAAAGAGGGCGGCGGAGGCACACGAAGGTTTCGCAGGGCATTGGAGGCATGGCCGGGCAAGGCAGTGAGGCATTCGGGCAGCGATGGCGGCGGAAGTGAGCCCATTACTTATTATAACTGCCTGGCGAGCGAGCGAAGCGAGCGAGGAGCGCCTGTCAGGCATCCATCATCGCGACGAATGGTCTCGCTGCCAATAACATCCGCCGTCATCGCCAACTTTTCGCGGCCTTGCCTGCTGCTTGCCTCGCGCTGCCGCTGCTGTTGCCACCCCGCCGCTTCCACCCTCTTCACGGTCGCTGACGACGTGGCCGACGCCGCCGCCTCCGCTACTTGTTTGTATTAATTTCCTCGCGGAAGTAACCTCGAGCGAGAGGACTCCCGCCGTCGGCGCGGAGTGAAAGTCGGAGAACGACCTCCGTTTATTTCCGTGAGACTTCTTAATGGAAAAGCCGGCGTGATCGATGTTAATCACGCGACACGAATACGATATGCACTCGTTACGCGTAATAAGTATCATCATCGCTGAATTACTCAAATGTACGGGTAATCCAAGAAGCGGCGATCGATTTAATCTCTTTCCTGGCGTTTCACTTAATCACGCGGTGCACCCAAGTCGAAACTTTAGCCCTATTTTAGATCTTTAGTTCCGCAATATAGCAGGAGCTAAGATAGCAAAATAGGTTCAATTTTAATTCTAATCATATAATATAATGTCTATTTTGACCTTGATGTCTTATGTTTTCGTTGCTTTAGCGCCAAAATAGGTTGTTGAAGATGACGTTAAAATTCAATCCGTAAAATTAAAGATTCAGAAGAGAAGTTAAAAAGTATCAGTATCGTCAAAACAGGTGTTTGTTAATCTACAGACCGTTTAAGTAGGTGCAAACTATATTTAAAAGCGTGAGAATAGCACAAAAATTTCGACTCGGGCATGAAAAAAATTAAAAAAGAAGAAACAAATAATTCGTCGAAACTATGGAAACGTTATTTAAAAAATTAACAATCGATCTTGACGGAAAGCAAAAGATTTTTAAGATCACCTTTCGATTGAAATCGTTCTCGAGATCGACATCGTCCGACACCTCGTCTCGTTCAGAAGTCAATCCGGTTTCGAAGGAAACGAGCGGAAAGAGAGAGAGAGAGAGAGAGAGAGAGAGAAGAATAACGAAACGATCGGCACGATACGTACTGGAAACAATACGTTGGTTGCACGCTTCACGCTACGAAGAAATAATTCAAAGGACGATCACGATTAAGAGGATAGGAGCGGTCGCGCGCGATGCCGCACGATCTTACCCCGTAATCGATGGTTCAAACGAGCAATGGCTATCGCGCGCGACTCGTCTTTGATACGTAGCGGCGTAACGAGTACTGGCCCTCGGCGTTTCGCCAAGTAATGTAGGTATCGGGTGTTATGAGCGGAGGTATACGTAACACGTAAAGTAATACCTTTATCCTGAGCACGCGCGCGCTCGTGTGCGCCGCTGCGTACATATGTATTATACGCCACGTAGTGTAGGAAGTCGCTTTATGTCAGAGATCGATACTCATAAAATGTTTCGGCACGGTTAGGTGCTCCTTCTGCCTCCCCCCTCCCCCCCCCTCGCGTTTCCTTCCCCTCGGCCGACCCTCCTTCTCCTTTTCGCTTCACTGTCTCTATCTATTCATCTGCCCTCCCCTTTTCCTATCCTTTCGGTATCTTCAACGAGAGAGGGCCGTATCGCCGACGTATTTACGATCGTCGTAAGCCTCGATCGTAAGGTTCGCCGTGGATGTCGATATCGAGCCTGCTCTCTTCCTATCTCCTTTCTTCGCGCACCTTCCCCCACGTCCCTTTGCTCCCCCCGCCCCTTTCGACCCCCTTCTTTCTTTCCATCTATTCTATCGCGATCGTTTCTGATCGTTGCGCGCACACGGAATCCAAAGTCCCGCGGTAATTCCACGATATTTCGATATTTGTCGCGTTACTTGCCTCGCACACTCACGTTTGCCGCGTGCGATCGTAATTTCGCGACGCGAATCTCTGCGTAACTCGAACGCCGGCTCTCATTGTCACATTTAATTTCTCATTTTTCGCCACGAGCAGTCAGTTTTACGATAACTTTTTCGAGTCGCGAAATTTCCGGTTTTGATGATATATCAAACTTTTTCCACATTGCACCATGAAATCCGCGCATATAGGTTTTTATAGATCCCTGAAAGATATTGATTTTTGATTGAATGTCAATAGAGCCGTTTGATAAATTGTCGAGATCTGGAATTTCGCGAAACTCTAAAAAGTTACCGAAAAAAATATTGATTCTTTTTAGATCTGGCCTTGACGTGTGGGAAAGATAAATTTCATTATATAATACGTTAGAGCAACGCGTTGTAACACGTTTTAGAGAAACCGTAGGAACACGGATGATCCAGCAACGCATATCCAGCGTCGGTCAGCTAGGCTGGGCATATGGCAGGTCGTATCTATGTAGCCAGGCGGACAGCTGGAGTGACTCATGGCGGATTACAGTGATTGCTTGTTTATGGTCATTAACATCCTCGTGGTCCCATAACTACCCCGCATGGCGTCCCATCCCATCAGCAGGCCCCACCGTACGTGCTAGACTGTATGCTTACGTATATGTGTTTGCAGGTACGTCGGATGCAGCCTGTACATCGGCACGTGCATACGTATGTCAGAGAGGGAGAAAGAGAAGGGAGGAGAGACGGAGAGCGCGCGCGAATCGACGCCCGAAGTAATTTGAATAACAAGTAAGCCTCCGCATCTGAAGCCGTAATCCCTCCCAGTGGTCCTCGCGTAAAAAGTAAAAAAGGTAATTACGTCTCAAAATCGGGGAGAAGCTTCGTTTCGAGCTTTGCAGATTAAAGTGAGCAACTAACGGCGAGAGCTCAGCTCGCGGCAACTTTGCGAGCGGATAAACGATACTGTAATTAATGTAGCTGCACCCAACTGATACATATCATTAAAATATTACGCGCGGCGATCCCGATAACGTCGGAAGTTTTTACCATCGTTTCGCCGCTAATAAAAACATTCCACCGAGCGCGATCTGCGAAAAACAGAAAAAAAGGAAACCACACCGCGTGAATATTACAGGGAGCAAGACAAACTGACGGACGACAGATTCGAAAAGCTCGGCGGCGGATGAATTTCGCGACAATTCGTCTCGACACGTGGATCGCATTGGCTGTAAATATTCCACAAAAAACGGTGGCCAGAGAGATCGTAGGACGGGGGAGGGGAGGCGTCGTTCGATCGACGACGCTCACTGAAAAACGACGTTTCGTCAGAGCGCGGCGCGGAGATCCAGCGCGCGTCGCATGTGTCTTACAAAAACGAGTGCGGACGCGGCGGGACCATTCGCTCAGCGCGCTCGGCGGACTGAAACGAAAAAAAAAAAGAAACAAAACCAGCGATATTTTGACGGGCTGCGAAGCCCTCGAACGCTCCCCGGCAATTCGCCGCGAGACATAGATCGTGCGCGCGCGAACCGCATTCGGGGCAATTGCGATCGGTCCGGCGAGTCGTGCGATCCGCGCGTCCGCCCGCGCGGGTGTTTAGCGCGGGCTGATTGATGGAAACGGGTCCTCCTAGAGCAACTGCTGCCCACCAACGGCAATTATACCCGCTACACGCACTGTATCGTCCCCGACACATAGATCGTCCGTGCTCGTTCGGCTCGGCTCGGTGGCCAGTAACACTAATACGACCCTGGGACGCGTAACTCGCGCCACCCCGCAACACCGACATCGACCATCGATACCGTCAACCGACGCCCGCCGTCGCCGCTACCGCCGCCGCCACCGCGCCGCCGTTGCCCTGCCGCCACCCCTTGATTGCCTCATTGGATCGCATTATGTCGGCGCCATTATCATAATTCAGGGATTTTTCACGGCCGTCCCGCAGAGCACGGGCTTTGGCTCGAAGCCCGATTGCCCGCAGAGAGACACGCGTCGATCGATCGGACTCGTCGGGAGGGAGAGGGAGAAGGAGAGGAGAGGGATTCCCGCCGATACTATCTTTGAACTTTTGTACCGCCTCCTTGCGAGCGGCCGATTTGACTAACCGCGGAGATAATTGCGGTGTAATCGTAGATGAGGGGCTCGGAGGAATGCGAGATAAGAACGTCGGAAATATTCGCGGCTCTCTCCGAAGACGGTCCGGCGATACGGGGCGAGGTCGTTGCGCGACAAACTTTGTAAATCGAGAATCAAATCTTCCCGGCGAAGTGTGTCCCGCCCGACGGGAAGGGGTACTTGTCGGGGAGCGATCAGATAGAGGACACCGGGGCAAAAAGGCGGGAGCGAGTATCGTAAAACGGGGACATGGTCGTGCGACGAATAAGGACGCCTCTAATAAAACATAACTACCGAGGAGTGCGGCCCGTACGACGTTATGGATCGGGACGTCGACCTCGGTACTCCGCGACGTCAACCGTAGTTAGGTTCACACACACACGCGCATATATACACGCAACATATATATATACACAGAGGCATGCATACGTACACACGTGCAGACGTGAGGGGTAACGCGGTATAATATGATAATAACGCCCACCACGCGGGTAGATAGGTATAATTGTCGAGCATAACTCAGGGCGGAGCGACCTGGACGTCGGTGATGTACGCCTCGGTAAAGCGGCTCCGGGACTACGGCGCACCGGACTCCCACGGGCTACGTCGGGTCCGGGGGGTTGCTTGCCGGGCGGGGGAGGTTGCAGCTTTCCTTAATTTATTGATATAATCAGCTCAGCTTTGTTAAACACGCATAATAAGGCTGCCAGGGGTGGCGTGAATAATCCGGCGACGCCGATGAAAGTAATCTTAATTGGTCTAGGAAGGCGCGCGCGTCACACAGAGCCTCCGTCTAAGCGCAAGATCCGCAGAGACAACGGCGCGACGCCTTTGCTTTTAACTTGAATTAAACACCACGCCAATTACGCTCGGTTTGCGCTAACGATACCCGGCGCCGCGCCGTTTGCATCGGATGGATTTGGAGTGCGCGATTTTCCGCATCGCGGAGCCCGCCACTCGATTCCCCTAGCACAGGCGGTAAGTGCGCATCCCACGGGGTGTTGTCGCCGCGATAATCTGTTACCGTTGCCGCGTTATTACGGGATTTGATACGCGCGTCTTTCTCGATACGCGGAAATTCATTTTCCGTCGGACGTACATATATATAGTTCGCGTTGCATCATACCTTTAATTAAAGTTACAAAGCTCCGTAGACCACTTTCCGCTGTATCCGCGTTTCCTTTGTAAAACGATCTCGAAATTATCGGATAATATCCTGAGCGATTTATGGCTCTTCGGGCAAGGCCGAAACTCGCCGGATATTGCTCGACGATGTAGAACAAACGACGCGGGTAACGACGAGCCAAAAACCGAAATAACGGACGACCTCGTCGAAACGCCTAGGCGCTCCGTGTTGCATCAATCTCGCGACTTTTTCGAGGACCCCGCGATGACGCGCGGTGACAGGCCGCAGAGGTTTAGGAAACGATCGCGGACGGTGAATGCGCCGGGGTGGCGACGCCAGCAGCACCATCGAGGGTACACAGGACGAGGTGGAGGTAATCACTCGGTGATGTAGTTCCTGCGAAGAGAGGTGGAGAGGCGTCCGCGACGAGAGCGGGAAGGGGGGACGACGAGCGGCGGCGAGAGGGTGGACGGCCTGCACACCGCAGTGCACACGACCACCACCGATACACACAGTGCCGCTCCGAGTGCGAGTATTAGAGCGATTGACTGCCGGACGTAACCCGTACGTGCCGGCCGGTAACACGTGTAACATACTGCCGCCATGTATCTCCCTCTACCGTTCACGTGTTTATGTGGAATCGGGGTCGGTCGCCATCGTGGCGCGTTCACACATCCGAAAGACGAGCCGCATTTTTGCCCTCCGCAAATCGTCACCGAGCGCTATTGCGGAGATAGCGCGAAAGTGAAATTATAACGCTTTGAGAATTATCTTCGCCTCGTTACTGCTTTATCGCGCGCCTCGTCGAGGAGCCTCGGGTGAAAATGCAAATTGCGATGACTGTCTCGTCGGCCGTCTTATTTCACTTACTCTCTACCGAGGATACGCGTTTCAACCTTTCCACGCCGTTTCGATACATACGTTTGCGCATTTTCTCCGAGATAACGGATCATTGATGAACGCCGTCTGCGCGGCGATAATTCAAAACTTTAGTAATAAACCGAGTCGGGTCATTAAAACGGCGAAGTAACCACCCTAGAGAAGCATGGTTCGCGCGGTCGCATTTTTCGCAATGGAAATCGCTCGTAGCCAGCCGAAGCGAGCGAAACAACGAATCAACCCGCGCGACCTCCGCGAAATCGCGCGCGTTACGAAACAAAGCTCGCTCGATCATGAAATACTGCTCGTGCCCCGGTCGCGTCCGGAGCGCGCGGCGGCGGTCGGAGGGAGGGAGGGAGGGCGGTTGGGAGGCGGGGTAGTTTAACGTAGGT